TTTCTTTTGTATAAAAATAAACAGTAGAGAGTTAAATGTGAAGAATATAGGAAGTTTAAAGAAGGTGGAAAGACCTCTAATTGTTCGAGAACAATTAGTCTACTAGTTTACTTTTGAATTTCTTCATACATCTGAAAACTGTCAAATTGAAAGACTAGTCTTTCAAAATATATATCAAAACCTTATCTCTCATTAGCGATTTCTATAATGGAGAGCAGTTTTCACATACACTTTCATTTTCATCTTCTTGTCAAAGACAATGTCTTAAACAGTTTTCAGCTCAGTATAGTGTCCATGCTGATTTCAAAAGAAAATTTCTTCGAGAAGACAGTAGGAAAAAACACAGTTTTCAGTATGTAGGAATTCTCGAATTCTTGAATAGACTTTTCGAATGTGAAAAAAATAAAATTAAATGATTCTACAAGCATATTGATAAACCATATGTTGAATTACTTATTTAGGTCTTTCCACCTTTCTGTGGAAAGACCTATTGAAATTGTTCTGTTTATTATTATTATTATTATTTTTCCGCCGAATGGTTTTTTGTTTTAAAAGTTATCGAAAAGATTTATGGTCCATAAGAATGCACTTCGTAAAAGATTTTTACAGTTGACCCTGCGTATATGAACTTTGACCTCTCAAGGAGTTGCAACCCCTTTCGCAATAAAAGCTTGTTATCGCTACTCCTTCGAAACCCTAAACCGTAGAGATACGAAACCTTCACTAATGTCTTTGACTAATTTAGTAGACTCTTCAATCTATTCAGTGCGAAAGGTTGCATAAACCCCTTTAATTAGTTATTGCCCCTGAAAGTTTTTGATGGTTACAAATAATCAATTTTTTTTCTAAACGATTAATTGTAGAGACATGGGACCAATAGCATTGGCATGTGTGACCTTTGACCTTGAAATTTATATAGAGGTCAAAGGTCAAGGTCATTCAAAATATGAGAAAATGAGCTTTTTTAATATCTCTTTTGTCTTTCAACATATACTGAATATCTTTGCATCTATAATATGTCCTTCTAAAACTATTTCAAAGATTTCATTCTTGTCCCCCGAGCTTGACCCATTCAAAAGTTGTCACCCCTTGTGCAACAAAACCTTGTTATCGCTACTCCTCCGAAACCGTAAACCGTAGAGATTCCAAACCTTCATCAGTGTCTTCGACTCATTTAGTACTCTCTTCATTCTATCATTGCAAAAGCATTCTTTGGTCCCTTGTATGAGTTACTGCCCCTGAAAGTTTACGCTGCTTACATTTAATGAACTTTTTTTTAAAACGGTGTATCCTAGAGACATGGGATCAACTGCATGGGCATGTTCGACCTTTGACCTTGAAATATAGGTCAAGGTCAAAGGTCAAGGTCATTTAAAAACATTAGAAATTCCTTATATATGTGTAAAATATGGCAATTTACCAAATGACCTTGAACTTTGACCTTGACCTTTCACCTTGACCTTGGGTGAAATGGAAAAGTAAGGACATGCATTCAGCTCCAGTATCAGGTAAAACATAGAAAAGTAAAGATTTCTCTTCTTTTTTTTTTTAATGACCTTGACCTTTGACCTTGACCTTTGACCTTGACCCAAGGTCACAATCAGGCTTAAGGATGTGGAAGTAGTTACAATTCTTAGTTTAAAAGAGGCATAAAATAAATAATTAACCCCCCCCCCTTTCTTAAAAAAAAAATCACATCAACAACAACGTAGAATATTTCTGTCAAATTCAAACCAGACCTCGGATCGACACCATATTTGGTACAATTGTAGTATAGACCTCAGAGAAAGTTTCTGGAGAGTTTTACGGTGAGTCATATAAGTTTAAAGAAGTCTTGAAGTTTCACGGCAAAAACTACAAGTTCTGTTGTGTTTGTAATTAAAGTGCAGGTGAACGAAGAAATGATCTAAACCTTTTATCGGCTATTTCTTCAGATGTCGTTAGCAGCATTCGATTCTCCTGATATGATACGACATTTTAATACCAAGCATTTTCTCTTTCTTTTACATTTGGAATTTATTTGATTTTTATTTAGAATTAATCAGTTTCCAGAAATAGCGATTTTCGGTAGATTAAAAACAATTCTCGCTTTCATTGTCGTCTTTCCCTTCTAAAAATGCATGTTGGGAGTTTAATTTGTGATACACATATTTAATTTAACCCGAAGAAATGCTTATTTAAATGTTTCATAGTTATTTCAGGATATTCAGTCAGAAATGTTAAAATCCGAACCCGATCTTTTAAGCTTACAACAAAGCTATTTACAAAAAATTCATCATGCTCACAATATCGAGGAATCAGGCTACAGTCCATTAATACATTTTCATTAGGGAACAGTGTTAATGTTTTCTTACGCAGCCCGTCCCTTATTATTTAATATACTGCTTGCAAATTCAGGAACTATTTCCTTTTACGGAACTTCTTTCTTCCCCTACCGATTCTAAAAATACGCTTGCAATTATTCTATAGTCCTAAACATTTTAACATACTATTGTTATTGGAGTGCATGGCCTAATGGTTAGCGCACCTGCCTTTCAAACCAAGGGTTTTGAGTTCGATCCCAGCTGGAGAAGTTTTTTTTTTTTTTTTTTTTTTTTTTTTTTTTTTTTTTTGCATTTATTGCATTTTTCTTCATTTTTTTTCAGCCCAAATGATACGGAAACACTTAAAAAGATGGAAAGACCTCTAATTGTTCTCTGAACAATTAGTTTACTAGTTTTATTTTACTTATTGGACAACTCTCTCACTTTCAGTTCATCTTAAAAGACACTAACATTTTCATAGGAAAAATAATTTTCTGATCTTTTTAACATAATGATTTCTGACGTATAAAACAAATTGCTTTTAAAGGAATCACATTTCAACATTACATTTAATCTTTTTAAGGAAACTTTTTTTCCCCTGAGTTCAGAGAAAATGGTATATTTTTTTTAGTTCAGGTCATCTATAAAAAATGTTTTGCTGCCCTCTCCCGACCGACTGCTAAAAATAGCCCGTTTCAAAACTTTTTTCAACCTCCAGGAAGCAATATTTTTTATGCATTCCGGAAAATAGATTTTGAAAATTCAGCATTGATTTTGAAATTTTCTTTGAAAATTTTTTTTCACCTACCTACGGACTCCATCTTCTCATCTGAGTCTGGAGAGAGCAAGAAATCATTATTTTAAAGTTGGTCCTATGATCATTTAAAATATACAAAATCATACATTTTTTGTAAAAAGTAGGCGTATATTGTATACAGACGCATGAAAGCACAAAAACCTTACCATCTATGCATCAAGAACTGAAGGATGTACAAATTTACTTTAAGATCTTTCAAAGAAAGTTACTGACCAATAAAATGTGCAAATTTTGGGAGAACGGTTATTACTATTTCCTGTGAAAATCCATCAGAAAAAGCTTTACAATAAATCAATTATATTTTTCCACTTTAATAGAATATTTAAAGCATAAAACGATTCATTTACTTCCTTAGAATAAGGTTACTGTCTTGTTAAAATTCAGACATCAGGAACATTTTTACATTTTCTGTTTATCAATCAAACATAGTGTTCTAAATGGATAGCAGCTTTCTCAATGTCAGTGCAGCTTGATATCTGTATACGGTATTATTGAAACATTATGTATACAGGAAAAGACAACTCAAATGATGTTTGGTGCAATGGACGGGATGTCTTAACTACGACTCGAGTAAATACGCGTCGAATATAGCAGACAAAAAGCTTAACTTACCCAAAAAATAATGATAATTTACAACAACAACAAAAAATACCAGTTGTGAGATGAATTATCACTACAACCAGATTATAGGATCTGTTCCTTCTTAGCGTGAAAAAAAATGTATTGTCCAGTACCAAGTGCTTATTAATTACAGATCTAGAGAAAACAAAATAAATATCCTTGATAAAAATACATACTTACCATAATATATAACGATAAATAGAAAATTCTCATTGCTCTGATATTATATTTGATCCTACCTGATTAAGGTAAACGGGGGGGGGGGGGGGTCATTTCTCTACGTTTATCTGTTCCAGTATTGACCAAAAAGAAATAAACTGAAAAAAATAAACATTGCAAGTCGATTTTTCTTCTAGTAGGCAGACTGTTGTAGTTGAAGGTTGAAAAAAAAAACTTTATCAAGGTTGCCAAAATTCAATGTCATTTCAATGATATCGATGATTCGTAAAAAAATATTTCCATAGTAAACTATTGATTGCTATATTAAAGTATGGTTTACTATAGTTAATGGTACTTTACTATATCAGGTACTTCAATACTTTGAATTCCTATGAAACTTGACTCTGAAAGTGTCTTGAGATTTATGATCTTAATAGATCACTTATTTCTTAAAAGCTTCTCGAAATAATTTCATATTTCTTTTTTATATATTTCATGCGAACAATTAGGAAAAATATTCATTCATTATAGCAGAGGAATTAAAGCCTTAATGTTACAAGGCTAGTTTAAAATAAACAGACTAAATACTTTATATTTCTTTCGTAAAAATAGAACATTATCATTTAGCCTTTAATTATTTGGACTAGCATTGGATCATTTCCTGTTTACTTGACAAACATTGCATGGCTAGAGCCATAAATTTTCAAAGACTAAAGATTACTAAACAATGATATAAATGAAATATGTCTTTATAGTGTCTTCCTTTTAAATCAAGGTCTATGCTAGTAACATCAAGGATTAAACGTACTGCTAAAAGCAGGGCATTAATTTTTCGGCAAAGCAAGGTGCTGTTATGCGACCAACAACATCAAAAAAAAAAAAAAAAAAAAAAAAAAAAAAAAAAAAACAATGTTTAAGTAACATCTTACACTTTGATGTAAATTTTATTACATGCAAGCCAACATTTTAGCAACTTTAACCAAGATTAAAATGAAACACACTTAGATGAACTCTTTAATTTTACTAGTTAAATGAAAAGAAAAGTAACATACAATTTCAAAACATTTTGCAAATTTTGATTTTGACGATTAATGCTCCCTTTTTGTCACAAATGTCAAGGAAAAAATAGTTTTAAGAAAGAATTATTAAAAAAAAATTAATGACAAAAGTTGGACTGATTAGGTCCGACATCTTTAAATTGAAACATATGGTACGCTGTTAACACTACTCCCTTACAATGGTAAGAAGCTCAAATAACTCCATCGTCAAACATCATACAGATATATTCTAATTTTCATCTAAAGATGAACCTTAAGTGTCCTTGTGAAGAAACACAATACTGTTCTCCTTAGACTTTTTTGTATGAAAAGAAGAGAGGAGTCACTTGCAGGTACTCTACATTAATATATGTACAATTGGATCGTAATGTCTTATCAGTGTGCTCAGATGGAAGGTAGCTGTTATTACTTAGTTCAAAAAGAATAGGATTTGAATTAAAGTTTGAGCACACAGCTACCTGCAACAAATACATAAGAATAGATTATAAATTCACAAAAGCATTTTTTCCGTTTAATTCAAGTTCAAGGATGTAGATAATTCTTCCCAAAATGATATATTTCCTCCATCATCTGGCCATCGAATGCTTATGATAGACCACCATATGTATCTTAAGTCCTTTGGCATTCTTTCTACAGGAATACCATCTTTAATGATCACTATTATGGATTTTTGTCTGTTATTGTGAAAGGCATGAGTCACTACCATCTGAACGGCGTATGAATCCCATCCACTCACCAGGAAGTTTTCGGTAACGACAATTATTACTTTCCGGCTATCATCGATGCACTGCAAGAGTTGCTCAGCTTTTGATATACCTGGGATAAAGTCTTTATCTGGTAAGCTAATTTGGAAGCCTAAACGAATCAACTCAAGATACAGAGTTGTAATGACTAGTTGATAGTCCTCTTCTGCATATGACACAAAAGCATCAAATTGGAATGGTTTTGTATCTACCACATGCATGACGCCTTTCCATCGACTACGCAGGCGAAGAATGACATAATCGACATGGACACGATATTTGTGCACAAATGCTGCTGTGAAAATTGTTGTTAGTAAAAATACCGAGAAAATAGAAGAACTTATCAGCCATAAGTATGCTTGACATTTCTTTTCAAATTCCATGAATTTGTTTTCTTGAAAAAACTCTGCTAGTGATATTGTTTGACTTATGCACACGGTTTTATTCAAATCTGCAAACTTGTGTTGATTCTTTCTCATCCATTTGAGAGACGAAATATGTACACATTCACAGCTTATTGGGTTGCCTTCAAGAAAACATTTTATATCCTTATGCAATGTTGATAATTGGTTGATATCAGTTTTTGTAAAAAATGAAATTTTATTGAAACGCATGTAAAGATTTTGAAGCTTTTGTAAATGTGACACAGGAATTGTTGATAATTCGTTATTATCTAGATTCAAGGTGGAAAGGGAAAGCTTTTGATCTTTATACACAGTATGTGGCAAATAATATATAGAATTCTGTCTTAAATCCGCAAATTTTAGTCTTTTAAGCCCAATGAAAATTTTTTCCACTTTAAAAGTATCGGTAAAGTTAAGTTTTGCATTACGTGCCGAAAATTTTTCTAGTTTTGTAGCAAATTGTAAAATTTTATAGTTCATTTCACTACAATCGTTATTAGATATGTCAATGATTTCTAAAGAAGGCATCTTTAATTGAGTAACAAACTTGCATGGGAAGTTTGTGTGTACGACATATAATTCCTTTATTCGTTCACCAGATAAAGCTAGGTCAGCAGGAAATGATGAAACAAAAGGATGGATATAATTCTTAGAAACATCTAATACTTTTAAATGCTTTGACAAATTTATAGTAACAAGTGGTCTCTTCCATGATAGTAACAAGTGGTCTCTTCCATGATATGAATCACGGTGATTAAATATGTTATCAGCAATAGCATGATTATCATTTAAGCTGATGTTTAGCACCTGTAATCTCGGATATCGTGTGAGAAGATCAAACATGAAAACAGGCTTAATAAATTCAATTCTATTCTCAGATATGTCAAAGTACTCCATGCATTGGCCCATTTTTGTTCTAAGTAGGTTTTCTGAAACTCCAGCTATCCGGTTTTCACTAAGAATGACTTTCTTGGTGCATGTATTAAACAAATATTTACAATTTTCCTTGTTAAGAAAAACTGCTTTTTCTACAAGACGTGGTTTATTTCCATAGGCATTTATATAATCCATTGTTCTATGCTGAAGGCACCGTAGGGAAAGTAAAGCAACGTTCAAGTCACACAATCCACCAAAGTTAATAAATACACCTTTTAAAACAGGAAATGAGCAAAAGATTTCTTCACTTACATCACAAAATACCATATTTCTGAAATCTAATTCCAAATAATTTATAGGAGAGTTGGACAAACCTGAAAAAGTGGTCTCTGTTAGATTAAATTTCGAATTTTCTGTAAGCAAGTTCACGCTTCTCAATTGTGTTAACTTTCGAAATTGGTTACTAAAATAAAACCCTTGAAATGCCCCTATTGTCAAATTTTGCAATGTTACCAATCTGGAAATCTCGATATCTGGATATCCAAGCTGTTTAAATGCATTTTGATGTATTCGCAAAATTTTCAGCTTCGATAAATTAGCAAAAGATTGGTTTGCTAGAGAAGACTTTTTCAGATTGCAGTTAGAGAGATCAAGAACACACAAATTCTCTAGCAATCCAAAAGCAGACTTTGTGATGATATTAAGTTTGTTGTCCTGTAGGTAGAGAGCTGTTATGTCTGATAACAATTTGATATTGACGTCAGAAAATGTTTCAGCTGATATCATTGAGAAATTATTTTTTGAAAGATCAAGGGCCAAGGTCTTATCTCTATATCTTTCTGGGATGTTCCGAGGAACTACTTGCAAGTTGAGCACACTGCAATCCCATAACAATCCACCATTTCCACATTCATCTATGTAAGGCTTGAATATACACTGCTTAGTACTGGTTTGTTCTGTAATATCAAATCTTAATCATAAACAAGAATTTTTAATAGACTGTAAAACATAAAAAGGCATATTATTATTACACTGAAATGAAATTAAAAAATAAATACATTGATGTTGTTAAATACCTGAATTTAAATTAATGAGATCAACTTTTACCACGAGAAGATTGTCTATACCACCTGTACAATTTCCGTTAAATACGTATAGAATTTAACAAATAAGAAGTAAAACTTACTTAAAACATGATAAATTACAAGAAGACTGTTGAAGAATGTAAGATGAGCCATCACGACAACAACATTTTAGGATCTGTTCCTTCTTTGGGTAAAATTGTCTGTCGTCTAGTATGAAGTACTGTTGTGTGATAAAACAAACAGTTTAAATTGTCTAAAAAGTTTTAGAAGGTGTCTTGGATTATCAGTTTTCCATTTTTGGTTACAAAGGTGGTAATTTTAAACAAAATATGCTTCCAAGATAAGAAACCCCATCTTAAGGTCATGAATATGTTGAACAGGTTGCAACATTGATTAGCCTAAATTCGACGTGGTTTCAACGTTGAGTTGTCGTCAATATCGCACATGCTCCAACAAATTACATTATTTCATTTTTACTTTTACGTTCATTCCTATTTAAAGCATGAAAATCCGACATTGATAAAGGTAAATTGATGTCTAGGTCGGTTTTAGCTAAAATGTATTTATTGCATAGAAATGTGAACTACAATGATTTCTTGGATTTGCAAGAGAATATTTCCGTATACAAATACATGCATTAGGTGTTTTCTCATCGGATACAAATTGAAACATATTGCAGATATAATTATATTAATATATATTAATATGCATAAACAATGCATACTTTTATTAAGATTAGAGTATATATCAAGTATATTTCCCTTGTTTATACTACATGTACAACCGTTGAATCATCATCATAAGAAACAAATATCAAGAAATCTGCAAAAAATTCAAACAATTATCCTTGATGTGGTAATGAAAAGACAGAGGCAATAATGGACGAGGTCAGAAGGAGTCATTGATAGGATCAAGTCGTTTAAACAAGGAAATGATGTGATATTTATGCTTATATTCCTACTTTTAAAAAATTAAATATAACATAAAATGATTTTATTTTGTAATTCCTTATAAATCGTAAATCATGACCTTTTCCTGAAATTAACATCTACAAGTACTATCAACTGTTACATTTTACTCATAAAATGTAAGTAAAATCTATCAATTGTAAGTTAATACATGTATATGATAGTCTTGTAACAATTGTTACAATTTGTTTTTTTTTTATTGTGTTTATAATGGTGTATAATAGTATGTTCTCGCCGTATATCCATATAAGCACCACGTCTGACAAACTGTTGTTTTTACAGTTAGTAATTACCAGGCCGTAGAAATGAGAGGGTGTTTCCTCTTGTGAAAAAAAATGGACCTGTATGGTCAAGAAAGATAGCTCCGTGCACAGGGCATGAATGGTTAATGTGTGTGTCTGAGAGGTATTCCGTTTGAATGCATTTATTACCAGCGATCGGAACTCCGGCTTTTAATTCATTTGTTATTATTTGTGACCAGCTGTGTGCATGCAGTTAGCACGTGTACATTGTGGCGTACTAAGGTACATGTATTTGGTCAGCTGTGAGGGACATGCTACATACTAATGCGTCTACTATAGAGACTTTTGAATTGTAGTCACTGTCGCAACCGAAGAATATGTCGGTGTATGATAAGTAAGGTAAATTTTTTGGGTCAACATATATTTAGGAACGCCATTTTGCGTTTCATATTTCGAATTGTTGCATTGAAACAAACGTCTACAGATTGTTTGCATAAGGCAGAAAAACTTAAACATTTTGCTGGGTCGGGTATTTTGATTATATTCAGTATGTCTATTTATACTATTACTATTAATTTTTTTTTTTATTTTTTTATGTGTATGCGTGTTGAATGTGTGCGAATTTGCGTGCAGGTTTACATGTATTTGCATTTTGTTTTTGAGCAAGGAAATAAATTGCTTGCACATAATATTTGTCCTTTTTCAAAGCTTTGGTTTCAGTTATGACAACAATCAAGGTTCAAACCCCAGTTAAGAAAACATAATTTATCAGGTTTTAATTTTTTTCGATTGGGATTGGGATTCGCAAGCAAAGGTGTTTATATCAACGTCTACAAATCGTTTTTATGTCATTAATATGTATTATTATAATTATATGTCACCCCGAACAAAGTCTGGGCGATATGTTGCTATTGTTCGCCTTATGCATTGTTCGCTGGAGTTCTCTCAGATGGCTGGGACAATATTAATGAAACTTTCCTGAAAAGATGGTCACTAGCTGTAGCTGTGCAGTGAACATATTTAGTTGCAAAATGGATACATGTACTGTTTCCCTGGAAATATAAGAAAAGTGAAGAATTTTGTCCAGGAGTCCTTTTTACTGACACCTCGGACAATCTTCATGAAAATTAAAAGAAATGATAAACACTAGTTTTGCAGTCAGAATTAAACATTTTAAGATTTCCCATCGTTGCAATGGAAACAGGAGAAAAGTGAAAATTCTTTATTTTTGTGTTTCTTAGTTACTGCTCATACAATCCTTTTGAAACTTTAAGTTTTAAACATAAAATAAGTTTTATGCCGTTTGCTTCATTTTACAGTTTTCACAAAAAGTTATGTTTAAATTTAAAAGAAAAACATGGTCTTAAGTATTTATCAACATAATTACTTACCTCCTCCCATCAAGCACATGCAACAGCGATAGAATATTTTTCTAAACCTGAAACTGGACGTCAGATCGACAATAAACTTAATATCCCTAAGTAATTTACTTGAAAGTTTGGCCGCCACTGGCGCATGCATGAAAAATAATAAATTTATCGAAAAAAAGGCAAGCCTCGCCCTCTATCACGTTTTCTTACCCTCACCCAAATATCGCTTATATTTCAAGACAGTAACCATGTATTTTATATTTATCGCATAAAAATCAGTCCTCTTGATTA